CTGATGGGTCAATTGAAAGGTACAATGCAACGCTAGTGATTAGGGAAGATTCTCAGAAAGAGGCCATAGATTACTTTAAAACTTTTAGTCCAGTTGTCAAGATCACCACTACTAAGTGTCTTCTCACCTTGTCTGTCAAGCATGGTTGGGTTGCACAATAATTTGATGTCAATAATGCTTTTCTTCTTCTGGTCCTCCTTTGATATGCAAGATGAAGAAGTCTCTCTATGGTCTAAAACAAGCCTCTAGACAATGGTTTGCAAAGCTGTCACAGTCTCTTCTTTCTAGAGGTTACTGTCCTAGCAAAAATGACTCTTCTTTGTTCAACAAAATCATTGTCTCCTCCACTGTTCTTTTGGCTGTTTATGTGAATGACATCCTATTAGTTGGGGATGATGATCAAGAGATGGTAGACCTGAAGACCTTCATAGATCATCAGTTCAAGATCAAAGATCTTGGTTCTATTCATTATTTTCTTGGTCTTGAGGTTTCCATAGTATAAAGAGGTTATGTAGTTCATCAGCACAACTATACTACTGACCTTCTCTCTAAGTTTCATTGTATGGATGTCAAGCCTGTTACTACTCCCCTTGATCCCCAAACCAAGCTTCATGTTGACACTGGTGATCCTCTTTCTACTCCTTCCATCTACAGAAGGTTAATTGGCAAGCTAAACTTCTTGCAACATACCAGGCCTAACATCTCCTTCTCTGTTCAACATTTGAGTGTCTCCTAAAGTTCCTCATATGTTGGATGCACTGCATGTTCTCAGATATTTTTTTAATGACCCTACTCAAGGTATATTGCTCAACAACTCTTCTGACTTCTCCTTAAAGGCTTGCTCTGACTCAGATTGGGCTGCATGCCCTGTCTCAAGGAGATCTTTTACTGGCTACTTCATTATTCTTGGTGATTCTCCTATTTCTTGGAAGTCCAATAAACATCCCATTATTTTCTTAAGATCTACTAAGGCTGAATATAGACCATTTCGACAAGTGGTTGCTGAGGTTTCTTGGTTGCTTAGGCTTCTTGCTGATATGGGGTTGTCTATCTCCTCTCATGTTCCTCTTTTTTGTGACAGTCAGACTGTTGTGATATTGCCAGAAATCTAATTTTTCATGAGCGTACAAAGCACATTGAGGTGGATTGTCATTATGTTAAGGATGTTCTCTCTGCTGGTGTGATCTCTCTTCAGCATGTGCACACCTCTGCTCAGCTTGCATATATGCTTACCAAGGCCTTAACAGGTGTTCCTCATCACGGGTTGTTATGCAAGCTTGGTATTCACTCACTTTCAAGCTTTTNTTTTGTCTTTCAGAGACCCGGCCCTTGTCCGGTAGTTTTATTCTTTTAGCCATAATTTGTTGTATATATAAATAGAGTCACTTGACTCTATTCTTAATTAATGGATCACATTTCTATTTACTCGATTGTCTCATCTGTTTATCTCTCTCGCCGACTTAGGCAATTAGGGTTTTCTCTTCGATCCAATTCCACAACTTCACTTCAATTTCATGGGTTAACAAGTTCGACTCTCAACAAGAATATTTTATTTTTCGATTGTATTCGTTGCGCGAACAAATACAATCGATACATGTTGTTTCTATTTTATATACACCAATGTATATAGTCGATACAAGTTGTATCCTTTATACACATCCTTGTATTTTGCCTTGGTTATACAGTCGATACACATTATATTTGTTGCGTGAAGGAATACAGTTGACACATGTGATATTCGTTGAGCGTTTGAATACAAGTTAGTAATAACTAAAAAGTTGCTACTGATGGTAATTAGGCATATTATAGTTACTAGGCTCTAAACTATAGTGGTTTATGAAAATTTCTCCCATTAAAATATATTAATTTAAAATTTATCTAAAGTTTAGCCAGTTCTAATAAAATTCAAAGCCACTCTTCCTCTTCTTCTTTGAGACGGCTAAAATTTAAATATTTGTAAATTTTGATTATATTTTAAATAATGGTCCTTAACACGACTATTTGTCTATTTCACCCTAGCCAACAGAAGACAAAATTAAAGTAAAAATCACACGGGCGCCCCTATTTGGTCCCCCCTCCCTCAATTTAACATAAACCTGCTTTTTAAAAAAGTTTTAACTTATACTCACTTTTTAAACAACTTCGAGCCTTTTTCTCGTCTTTCTTCTTCTTCTTCTTCTTGTTCTTCGGGTGATAATGATTTTATATGGTGTTTGTGAACATATTTTAAGGTAGTTTATGATATTTTATAGTGGTGAGCTGTTATGCTACTTTATTGTTTTACTATTACTTAGGGTTTCTTCTTCTTCTTTTTCTTAATTGCAAAATAATTTCGTTAGATTTATTATTATTTTGACAAATAAATGATTGGGGTTTATTCTTGATGATATTTGGAGGTTATGTTTCAAATTTGAGCTCATTTGAAATAGATTTAGGTATTAAATCGTATATTGGATTCTTATAATTCGAAGAACAAATTTATGTTTTTGGGCAATTTGCACTTCATGCCTATTTGGCCTTAAGTGCATGAAAACGTTGGTTGCACTTCAAGCCTTTTGGCCTTAAGTACATCTGAAGTGCAACTTTTCACTTCGGACTTATTGGCCTTAAGTGTAGGAAAATATTTGTTGCACTTCAAACCTTTTGGCCTTAAGTGCATCTGAAGTGTAATTTTTCACTTCAGACTTATTGGTCTTAAGTGCAGGAAAACGTTGGTTACACTTCTGACCTATTTGGCCTTAAGTGCATCTGGAGTGCAATTTTTCACTTCAAACTTATTGGCCTTAAGTGAAGGAAAATGTTTGTTGCACTTCAGACCTTTTGGCCTTAAGTGCATCTGGATTGCAATTTTTCACTTCAGACTTATTGGTCTTAAGTGCATGAAGACATTGGTTGCACTTTAGACCTATTTGTCCTTAAGTGCATCTGAAGTGTAATTTTTTCACTTCAGACTAATTTTTTTTAACTTCAGACCCGATAAGTCTGAAGTTGATCGTAAAGTGGCTAGACTTGCAATTTTTTTTTAAAGTGGGTATAAATTCAATTGTGACCCCAAAGCCGGGTATATATGCAAAAGAACCAAATTAAATCAGTGGCACTTAAAAAAGACCATTTGTTCAAACGCCACAGCCTATCTATCCTCACGTTGAAAAAACTTCCTTTCTTATATGCTCTCCAATCTGTTCAATACAACTTCAATTTCCCAGATCAAGCAACATAAAGAGGAATATCGAAGTGACATAATATATCCAATTCTTATTTGTTCCTAATATTGTACAAAATAAATTACAGGGAAGGAATTATCCCACGAATATGGAGAATGAATTAAAAGAGGAGAAAAAATGATCTCAGTGAAATATGAGGCCTGCACTTAATGGTGTACAGCTTATAACACTTCATTCTCTATTTAGGCTAATTACCATTGAGCAATAGCTTGATTTAGTTTTTCTCTTTCCCTTTTTTCTGTTTATATTTATCCCTTGATTTCCAGTATCTCATATATTTTGGGGTTCACTAAAGAAACACTAGGCACTAGGTCAGAAAAATTAACACTTTCTCCTGTTGGTCAACGATAACAGCACCAATTCCAGCTATATTACCCAAGCTAGGCCTCAAAATTTAAACTATTTTGACTAGGACTTAGAACCACAGACTATTAAAGGATTGCCATAACTTTATATAACAAAGTCAATACTGGGAGTATGATTTTTATCGAGTGGATTGAGTCTTTTTGCTCTGAAATGTAATTTTGACTTGGTTATTGTTTATTAACCATCACAAAGAAATTAAAAGAATGATGATACTATTATAATTTATTGCTGTCAAGCCAAATAAAATTGATACAATAATACCAAATATTACAACTACGGAAACCAAGTATATATAATTGACCACCAAAGAGCAATTAACCTCAATAGCATCAATGAGATTTTACCACACAATACTTATTTATTTATTCCTCTAAATTCAACTCGTATTAGGTTTGTAGTGCGTATCAACTAAGAACTTCAATTATTCTCACAGAATATTTTAATAATCTGAAATTAACACCTAATTCGTATTAGGTTTGTCAGATTGACCAACAATATGTCATTGAATCAAAGTACTAATACTCATTAAAAACTAAGCAGAGAGACGAAGCCGGAAAATTTACAAAACGTGTTCAAGGTTTAATATATATTTATAAAAAATAATTTTTGACCATACGTAGTATAATATTTTATATACTTAGTACCACACCACCCTTCACTCTATGTGGCTATGCCGCTGAAAGCATTAACTATAAAATTATATGGATAAATTTAACGTATGTTATTAGAAAAATGTTCTAGGATTTTCCTATTTCCATTTCATAAGTGAGACTTCTGCTATCTTTCATATGTGTGGTTAAACAACCCTAAAAATAGAATATATGTCACGGAAAATGCAAAGTACTAATAGTAGTAAGTACCCATTAAAAATAAAGCAGAGAACATTAAGTATAAAATTTTATGGATAAATTTCTACGTACTTTATTACAATAGCTTTTTAGGATTTTCATATATATCCCATTTGATTAGTGTAAGTACTTCTGCTATGTGTCATATGTGTGGTTAAACAACCCTAAAATTAGAGAATAGAGATTAATATATTAATTCAATCCGTTTCGGTATATGTTTGACTGACCGTTTAAGAAAAAATAAGACTTTTTGAATTTGTGGTCCTAAACAAATCAAAAAGAGGTCCAGATTATTTATATGATTATAAAAACTTCTCATTAAAGGTAGAATTGAAAGTTTAAGCTAAATTATTTCTAAATTTAAAAAGGGATCCTTCTTTTTTGAATATATCAAAAAGAAAATAGGTTCGCATAAACCGGAACGAAAGGAGTATTTCACATGGAAAACCCTATTCAATAGCCCTTCTTTGTTTACTTTGGCCGGCGACCACACCAAAACTATATAAAAACACACACTAATTTTTAATCTAATCCAAACCACCAAGAAACTCCAAAGTCTAATCTACATTAAGCCCCACCACTCCCAATGATTCTTTTTTTTTTCCCCTTCGTCTTCTTCTCCTTCCAAATTGTCCTTTCATTTGTTTGTTTCTTCAAAGTTTCATTTGCAGAAGAAGAATAAAACCAGTACATATATATTTTTATACTACATTACTAGTATATATTACTCCCTTCCATTTCATTCTCCACTAAGAAGCAGCTGTCAATGAGATCACAAGTTAACCCACATTTCATTGACATAATTCCCATACTTCGCCGACCCCCATTCCCACACCCCTCCACAGGGTTGCTGCTTTCTTCTTTAATAGGGAATACCTTTTTTCTTTTTTTTTTCTTTTTTTTTACATTTATTCACTGGTGCTGGTTCTTGTTAAGTCACTTTCATCCCTTGTGAAGGTACTGAATCAGAAAGGTGGAGCTGGCCTGGTTGGTTCATGTGGCGACGCCCTTATTGCTTTCAGAATTCGTCATTCTTGATGTTGTTCACGTGATTTACCATTTTTCTACCTCTACCTTTGATCTTAGTTGGTACGTTGTTTTTCAACCCTTTATTTTTCTTTTATATTAATACATGTGAAGTGAGCTTTTGGCCCAGGAGTTCATGTGTTCTAGCCGTGAAAACAGTCTCTTGCAGAAATGTAGGGTAAGATTACGTACAATAGGCGGTCCGGCCTTTCCCAGTACCCTTCAGAACCACGAACTAATGAATAAATGTGATTTTATTATATTTAGTAAAAACAATTTCTCTTAGCTTACATAGTTACTCCAAAAAATAATAAGTAAATTTTTTTGTGACTCATAAAACCTGCCTCAAAATACGCCTCTGCTTATACATGCATTATATATATATGTCCGTGTTGTCTTGTGTGTTCATGCACACTATCTTTTTTATTTTGCCTAGTGAAAGTGCATAAGCATACGTGTTTTCTTTCATTTTAAGGTGTTTTTGTTTCCTTGAGAAATGAGTGAAATAGGTGAAATCTTGGGTTTTGGATCGCAGGAAAGGAGAAAGAGAGGGATATTAGAAGCAAGAACAATGGCTGAATTGCTTAGAGAGAGAGTGGACGGCAGTGATCGTGTCGTGAGACGACGAAAGAGTCTAACTGAACGGTTAGGATTCTCCGGACCCATTGCATGTTGTGGGTCCACCTTGTGTCTCAGACCAGCTTCGTTAAGTGTGGTTGATGATGATGACGACGGCGATGAATCGCTACAAGCACCACCGGAGGCGGCGGAAGCGGGCCGTGAAACACCGCCGGAAATAGAGTCAGCTTTGGTATGTTTGGCTCATATCCCGGCGGGTTCCGGAATGAACTTGGCGGCGGCGTTAGCGGCGGAGCGCAACTTTAGATCGGCCCGAGATACATATGATGCAGTAGATACCAGCCCAAGTCAAATATCAGGCCCAGGCCCAAATACAAGCCCGTTGAGACTTAATAACAATGGGCCGGTAACTGGACAAGAAACACCATTTAGGATGTCGTTGATGAGATTATTAGAGGAAACGGACGGCTGCGATGAAAAGGAAGAGGTCAAAGAAGGAGTGGGAAATGATACGATGTGCTGCGTGTGCATGGGACGGAAAAAAGGAGCAGCGTTCATACCATGTGGACACACATATTGTAGGGTGTGTTCAAGAGAGCTTTGGTTAAATCGAGGGTATTGTCCCCTCTGCAATAGATCCATTCTTGAAATTCTCGACATTTACTGAGTAAACTCCAAAGGATTGGTCATGGATTTTTGTGTTAGATTTCTCATCAAAGTGAGCAAATGAATTTGATTTTCTATTAAAAGAAAGAAGAAGATTAAGCAAAAACACATGAAATTGTTGTACCTAGAGGAGTAAGAATTTGTTAGAGTATTTGCTTTCTGAATCTATGGTCGAGCACCTATACTAAGCCTTCCTTTCGAGCTTAGTTGAAGTTGGATCCACCATATCAAATAAGTATCACATTTTCTAATTAATCACATTTTCTAATTAATCACATTTTTATCCTTTTGATCCCAAAAGATAATCGTTTTTACAAATTAATTTGTTTCAAATTATAATACGTTTCAGAAAAAACATAAAGTTATTTTTCTTCATTCATTGTTACTGCTCAATTTAATGAAATGTAAATTGATTGAGATGTTTAAGGGATAGATAAAAAGTAGTTTAGATAAATACTTTTATGATTGTGACAAAAACAAATTTCTTTAAGGAGTGGCAAAAACGTTCAAGACAAAGACTATGAATCTGATATAGCAGTGAATTGCAAATCATTTAGATAAATAAGCGGTTGTATTGCAACAAACCCAATAGTTTTTCACAAGTGAGGTATGAGGAAGGAAAGATGTACGTAATCTTACCCCTACCCCTGGAGGGGCAGAGAGGCTGTTTCCGATAGACCATCGGCTAGAGAACGACTGAAAAAGAACAGGTAATTGGAACAAGTAGGAATAACAGCGAGATGAAATAAGATCGAATCCGAGAATGCAGTCAAACTCTAGGTAGTAAATAGTAATAGCCATATATGAATAAAAGATATCATACTAACACTAATGCTAGCGAACTGAGTAAGACAAAGAGAAACGCTCGACTACCTATGAACCTTCTACCCTAATCTTTGACCTCCACACCCTCATGTCTAGGGCCATGTCCTCAGTCAGCTCCAGTTGCGCCATGTCCCGTCTAATAACCTCTCCCCAAGACTTCTTAGTCCTACCTCTACCCCTCCTGCTGCCCACCGAGGCTAACCGCACGCACCTTCTAACTTGGTCTTCTATACTTCTCCTCTTAACATGCCCGAACCATCTCAACCTCGCCTCCCGCATCTTATCCTCCACAGGGGCCACTCCCACCTTTTTTCGATTAACTTCATTCCTAATCTTATCCAACCGGGTATGCTCACACATCCACCTCAACATCCTCATCTCAGCTACTTTTAGCTTCTAGGTATGAGAGTTCTTGACCGGCCAACACTCTACTCCATTTCTTATATGGCCAACATGTATATTTTAGTTGTAATATTTCTTTGACCACACCATAATAATCAATATCTCCAACTTGGCTGCCATCACCATCTTGAACTCACACCCCGTTGTTATTACAATTTTTATTTTTAGAGCAATCCTTTGTATGAAACTTATAACAATTCACTACGTACTTAGACATTGTTGTGACCTGAAGCCCAGGTCCCCAAAATATATCTTTCAAAAATTGATTTATACCATTATTTGGATTATTTACCTACATAGTATTAAACAAATTCATAAGTTAGCATAACCGAATATATATGTAACTAATTCATAAATTTTAACTTGACCTAAACCCTAGATTTTAATAAAATGCAAAGTAAAACAATCAATTTAAATAATTATTAACTAATTCATAACTAAATAATAAAATATTAAAATTATACAAACAATGTAAGCTCAAATCGAAACCTGGAATTTTTAGGAGGTGGAGGGAGAGGGGGAGGGTGGCAGTAGAGGCAGTAGCAACGACAGCGGCGGGGAGGGGGGCAGTGGCAATGTGGGGTGGGGAATGGAATTTGTGTGAGGAAAATAAAGAAGGAGTGGGGGAAGGGTGTTGTGTGTGTGAGGGAGAAGAGAGTGGGGAGTTAGAAAATTTTGAGAAGAAAGTAAGAGAAATGAGGGGGAAAGCCCGTATTTCAGATCTGAAATTAAAGTTACCGACCGACGTAGGTCAGTAAGGTCGTTCGGTACACTTAAGTGACTGTTGACTGTGTTTGACCATTAACCGACCGACTTCGGTCGGTTATTTTTTAAAAAAAAAACTAATTTTTTTGTGTTATTAATTCGTAAAATATTATAAAATTTAAAAAATTATTATAAACTATAAGCATATATTTTATTCATATATATATATATTATAAATAATTATAAATTATAAGCATAATCTTTATAAATAATTATATTAACCAATTACTTTTAATAAATTATAAGCGTATATTTTATTCACACATATATATAATTAATCAATCATAATAAAAAATAAAGATNCTAAGTATATGAGTAATTTCACACACACACACACACACACACAAAAAAAAAATATTGTCACGACCCAAAATTCGCATGTCGTGATGGCGCCTATCTCAATACTAGGCAATCCGACAACCTCAATAAACCATAATTTTTTTAAGATTAAAAACATAATATATAAATTTAATAGAAAACCCCCACTCATACTGATATATAAAATACACTTCCAAAACTGGTATCACTGAGTACATGAGTATCTAAATGATAACATAGTCTGCCTAATACCAACATTGTCTGAAAATGTAAAATAGTACAAATAATCGAAAGGAAAGAGAATCAAGGTTTGCGGACATCAAGGAGCTACCTCGATAGTCTCCAACAGATAATCTCCCAAAACTAGCAATCGCCGTGCCCGGAAGCACTTGGATCTGCACGAAGTGCAGAATGTAGTATGAGTACAACCGACCCTATGTACTCAATAAGTAACAAGTCTAACCTTTTGGCTGAAAGTAGTGACGAGCTCTACAGGTACAGTCCAATATATAAATAACAGTATAGAAATGTAGGCATGCTTTCAAGTTCAACAGTTAAACTCAGTACAAATAAAATAGATAAATTCTGAATGATATGAGGAATGTGACATCTCTATATCTACAAGTCAATGTACATGTTGTATGTGATGCACCTCTATGGAAACCTCGTACACTCATAATCTAAAAATACGCAATCACTCAGTATTGTATATATACACATCAACTGACAATCAGTCAATCAGTACTGTATATAGCCAATCCAGCCTGCGGGAAGATCCATCCCCAAGTATAAATGATTTGGACAAGATCTATAACCAGGGAAGATCCATATCTCAATATAAATGAATCGCGCTCACTATTGGGGGGGGAGGGTGTAGACTCCGGAGGGGCTCCTTCAGCCCAAGCACTATAATAGCCAGATCCAGGCATAAATAAATAAAACATGTTGCGGCGTGCAGCCCGATCTCATATAATATCACTCAAAATCTCCAGTCTCTCGGGCTCTCAATGACATGAAAATCAACCCGACATGATGATATAATATATCAATGAATGACAACAGAGACTGAGATATGATATGCAAATGATGAATGTGACTGAGTACAAAATTACAATTCAACAATTAAATCAATAGCAGCACGACCCTGTGAGTCCCAAAATATCGGCACGTAGCCTAAACATGATCTTTAACATGAGTCTCAACTCAATTTCCTCTAACACGTGGAGGATATGCGGATAATGATATGATTCTCTAATTATACAACTCCATAGAATTTATTTAAGTCATAATTTTTATGATGCACGGCCACACGCCTGTCACCTAGCATGTGCGTCACCTCCATACAAATCACATAACATGTAATTTAGGGATTTATACCCTCAGAACCAAGTTTAGAAGTGTTACTTACCTCAAACCGTAAAATTCTTTATTCCAATATGCCTTTGCCTCGCGAATCGGCTTCTGAACGCCTCGAATCTAGTCATAATTAATTCGATACAGTCAACACAAATTATAGGAATTAATTTCATATGAAAACACTAATTTTCCAACAAAATCCGAAATTCAACTCAAAATTTTCAGTGGGGTCCATGTCTCGGAACCCGACAAAAGTTACAAAATGTGAACACCCATTCAACCACGAGTCCAACCATACCAAATTTACCAAATTCCGATATCAACTCGACCTTCAAATCCTCAATTTAACCTTAAGGGTTTTTACAATTTTTCCAACTTAAAGTACCAATTAAATGCTAAAAATAACAATAGATTCGGGTAATTTGACCAAAATTAAGTTAATAACACTTACCCCGATGTTTCTCTTCAAAATCTCCAGAAACTCGCCTCTCCCCGAGCTCCAAATCGTCAAAAATAAAAAATGAGATGAAGTCCCATTTTCAGAACTTAAGTTCTGCTGCCCAGTCGTTTGCTCTACGCGATCGCGGACAAATTCACGTGATCGCGAAGCATAAATTTTCCACTACCAAATTTAACCTTGCGTGATCACAGATAATTGCACGCGATTGCGAAGCATCAGCTCCACAGACCTACGCGATCGCGAAGCATAACCTCGTGTGACCCCTGCTGCCTCACTTCCTCTTCGCGAACGCAGCTTGATCCACGTGTTCACGATGCATTCCCTCTTCCCACCTACGCGATCGTGGTCCTCCTCACGCGATACCATAGAACAAAAACTCAGCATCCCCAATTAAGCCTATGCGATCGTGGATCTTCCCATGCGATCGCATAGCACAAGACCTCCACTGCTCAGCTAAGCCTACGCGATCGCGGACTAATTCATGTGATCGCGTACAAGGAAACTAGACATAGACATCAGAAAAATTTAAGCAAAACTCCAAGTCCAAAAATTGATTCGTTAACCATACGAAACTCATCCGAGGTCCCCCGGACCTCAATAAATTATACCAACAAATCCTAAAATATCATACGAACTTAGTTGAAGCCTCAAATCACATCAAACAACGCTAAAAATACGAATCATACCCCAATTCAAGCTTAATGAAACTAAGAAATTCCAACTTCTACATTCGATGCCAAAACCTATCAAATCAAGTCCGATTGACCTCAAATTCTGCACACAATTCATAAATGACATAACAGACCTATTTCAATTTCTAGAATCAGATTCCGACCCCTATATCAAAAAGTCAACTCCCCGGTCAAACTTCCAAACTTAAATTTCTTATTTTCGCCATTTCAAACCTAATATAACTACGAACTTTCAAATAATTTTTCGGACACACTCCTAAATTCAAAATCACCATACGGAGCTATTGGAATCATCAAAACTCTATTTCGGAGTTATTTATGCATAAGTCAATATCCGATCAACTTTTTCAAATTAAGCTTTAAACGTTGGAACTAAGTGTTCCAATTT